ATATATATACACATATACCTGTTTTTTTATTCTGGTGGGGACTTAAACCTGACTACACACAGACTCATGGGGACTCATGTCAAGGTAGGGACCTAAATTGTGGTCCCCACGGGTACAAAAGCTTGTAAATCATACAGAATGAAGTTTTTTGAAAATCTAAAAATGCACAAAGTTTCCTGTGAGGGGTAGGTTTAGGGGTAGGGTTGGTGTAGGACAACAGAATATACGGTCTGTAGAAAAACCATTACGCCTATGGAGAGTCCCCACAAGGATAGCTGACCAGACATGTGGGTGTGTGGCATAATTTTGTCCCTAACAAAGTTTGTGCACTTTGTTACAGTGGTTACACTTTGTAACTGCTGTCAGTAAAGAGCATATTTGAAATATGAGATGATGTAAAGTGTGAAGTAAACAAACGAAAGGTCACCGTAAATATTACAACAGAATATTTTTTAATGTGTCATTTCCAATGAATGCAAAAAGTGTGAAAATGCTATTTAATTCTGTCTATTAAGTGTTCATACAATGCTAGATATGAAATGAGCAACAAAAAATAAGTAGCTAAATTTTAGTAGAACAATTACATCAACTAGAACAGTGGTTCTCAATTCCCGTCCTCGTGTACCACTGCTCTGCACATTTAGTATGTTTCTCTTATCACTTCAGATGTTTGTTCTATTCGACCCTGCGACTGGGCATCACAGGATATTCCACCATGATTCCAATTCGAAGGGAACATACTGTATATGTTCCATTCAAAGGCCATTAAAGTGTGTGAGACATGAATTGAAATTGTATTTATTTACAGAGGAAGGAGCAAAGAGCACTGTGTAGGGACCATGTCAATCGGAACACAGTTCACGCATGGAGCTCTCTTCTAACGAGCTGGTTATCTGAATCAAGTGTGTTAAATAAGAGAGACATGCAAAATATGTAGAGCTGTGGTAGCTGGGACTGGAATTGAGAACCACTGAACTAGAGAAAATGAAGAGTGTGTCAAATGTGGTGAGATGTGCTGTATAGTGGCCTCTGGTGGCAAAAAAGTGAGACAGCATTTTATTTCAAATCTGCATAAAATTCTTGTGCTTTATTCATCATCTGCTCACATTAATTTACGACTTTTACTGACAGATATATTTTGCACTCTAAAAAGTGCCACATCTTTAATAGAGCAAATAATGTAAAGATCAAACGGTTACACTTTACTTGAAGGGGTGTGCATAAGACTGACATGACACCTTCATAACCATGACATGACACAGGTTTTATCCATGTTTATGACAACTGTCATTAAGTGTCATTCGCTCAGTTATGTAATTTTTAATGCAAAGATGACATTGTTTGAGATGTCTTTGTTATGGGCTATGGTTAGGTTAGGGTTAGGTCAAATAATGTCATATTTGCATTAAAAATGACACTTAATGACACTTAATGACAGTTGTCATAAACATGCATAAAACCTCCTTCATATTCATGACATGTGTCATGTAATAATTATGAAGGTGTCATGTCAGTCTTATGCACACCCCTTCAAGTAAAGTGTAACCGATCAAACTATAATTATAATTCATTGCTTTGGTTATTTAATGCGATACGTAATATAACTGGAAAGACCTTATGTATTTACCTTAATGTATTTTGATGGTTAAAACAACATACATTAGAAAAGTAATATAGTTGAATTTCTTGTCAGCCGTGGCATCTATATATCTCAGACCTTGCTATAATACACTGCCCATGCCTTCTTTTGAGTATTACTGGTAGAAGAGACACAACCATTCATGAATCCATTTTGGCTTGTGCTAGCATTGCTATGTTTATTCGTAAAACCATTTTGTTCAATGCTAAAGCTAGCATTGTCATATTCCTTGCCCAATTCGCTTTGGCAAATATCCAGGCCAGGATTCACATAACCACGTTTGATGCAATTTTGGCCCTCATTAAGGTCAGTTTTATCACTGACATTTCCATCTTGAATTTTGTTAGCATTCATGCTACAATCGCCATTTTGTCCAGTGCTAGCTCCCCGACAGAAAACTGCTGCCAGGTTCTATTTATGACGTGCTGACACACATTTCAAATGGTTTTCAACGGTTGTTTGATCGCGGCCAGTGTAGGCAGACTTTAGCTGTTGTAGACACGGTGTTACTCATCTATTGAGAAGAAACAAAGCAACCTCGGCATCCGATCGCAGGCCTCCACTCCTTGAGTTCTCTCCAGCGCTGGAAAGCTGATCCGATATTTACACGGGTCCTACTTCTTGCCTTATCGTTCAGCAGACGTTTTCCTCTTTTGTTTTTTATCTGCCATCTCTATATTTCTGTCGCTCGGCTCGGCTAATGTCCGTCCCGTGCACTGAAAGCTCTCTCCTCCACATCACAAGTAGACACGCCCCTTATTGCTGATTGGCTACAAGTTTGTTTTGCGATTCGGCCCGAATCAGTTTTCTAAAGTGTTTTTGAAAAATCACACACCCTGCCTTTAATGTGATATACTATAGTTTATTTTATTAATATTTTGAATTAGCTTCTATTTTTAGTTTTCTGTTTAAATTTAAAGTATTAGTTATTTTGTTGTATGTTTTTGTCATTTATATTTGTTTAATTTTATGTCTATACTTTATTCATTTTTATTTCAGTTTTAGTTATTTTAGTACATCATCTAAATGGAAATAAAAAATGTTGCCTTGGCAACTAGGTAAAATTGAAGTATATTTTTTATATTTTATTTCAAGTAACTTTTTTGTTTTTTTAATTTACACTTTTTTACACTTGTAAATATACACTTTTTTCACATTTCACATAGACAAATTAATAATTT